AAAGATTAAAAAACAATCCCATTTACCATTGCACCAAAAAAATTAAAATACCTAGGAATAAACTTAACTAAGGAGGTAAAAGACCTGTACTCGGAAAACTACAGGACACTGAAAAAAGAGATAGATGAAGACATACGCAGATGGAAGAACATACTGTGTTTATGGATTGGTAGAATCAACATCATTAAAATGTCCACACTACACAAAGCAATCTATAGATTCAATGCACTCCCCATTAAAATACCAATGGCATATTTCACAGACCTAGAACGAACTCTCCAAAAATTCATCTGGAATAAAAAAAAAGACCCCTGAATAGCTGCAGCAATCCTGAGAAAGAAGAACAAAGTAGGAGGGATCTCAATACCAGATATCAAGCTGTATTACAAAGCCACTGTTCTCAAAACTGCCTGGTACTGGCACAAGAACAAACATATAGACCAATGGAATAGAGAACCCAGAAATCGACCCAAATCACTATGCTCAATTAATATCTGACAAAGGAGGCAAGAACATACAATGGAGTCAAGAGAGTCTCTTTAATAAATGGTGTTGGGAAAATTGAACAGATACATGCAAAAAAATGAAACTAGACCACCAACTTACACCATACACAAAAATAAACTCAAAATGGATAAAGGACTTAAATGTAAGATGGGAAACCATAAAAATACTAGAGGAATCCACAGGCAGCAAAATCTCAGACATATGCCGAAGTAATATCTTCACCGATATAGTTCCTAGGGCAATGGAAACTAAAGAGAAAATAAAACAAGTGGGACTACATCAAAATAAAAAGCTTCTGCACAGCAAAAAAACAACAACCCATCAACAAAACAACAAGAAAGCCCACTGCGTGGGAGAACATATTTGCTAATGTTATCACCGATAAGGGTTTAATCTTCAACATTTACAGGGAACTCATACAACTTAACAAAAGAAAGATAAACAACCCAATAAAAAAATGGGCAACTGACTTAAATAGATACTTTTAGAAAGAGGACATAGAGAAGGCCAAGAGACTTTTGAAAACATGCTCAAAGTCACTAATCATCCAAGAGATGCAAATCAAAACGACAATGTGGTACCATCTCACACCTGTCAGAATGGCTATCATCAACAAATCAACAAGTGACAAGTGCTGGCGACAGATGCGGAGAAAAAGGAACCCTCGTGCACTGCTGGTGGGAATGCAGGCTGGAGCAGCCACTGTGGAAGACAGTATGGAGTTTCCTCAAAAAACTAAAAATGGAACTCCCATTTGACTCAGTGATCCCACTTCTAGGAATATATTCCAAAAAACTAGAAACACCAATCAGAAAGCATATATGCACCGCTATGTTCATAGCAGCACAATTTACAATAGCTAAGATTTGGAAACAGCCTATGTGCCCATCAGCAGATGAGTGGATTAAAAAACTGTGGTACATATACACAATGGAATACTACGCTGCAGTAAAAAAGGAATTCTTACCATTTGCAAGAGCATGGATGGAACTGGAGAGCATTATGCTAAGTGAAATAAGTCAGTCAGAGAAAGATAAATATCACATGATCTCACTCATTTGTGAAATATAATGAACAACATAAACTGATGAACAAAAACAGATCCATAGACAGAGAAGCATCAATCAGACCATCAAACCTCAGAGGGAAGGTAGGAGAGGGTGGGGGTAAGGGGGAGAGATCAACCACAGGACTTGTATGCATGCATATAAGCATAACCAATGGACACAGAGACACCAGCGGGGTGAGGGCATGAGTGGGGGAGCAATGAGGGGATAAGGACACATATGTAATACCTTAATCAATAAAGAAAAAATAAATAATGAAGCTATATATGCTGATAGGGAACATCCTCTAAGATACAGGAGTGAAAACAAAGCACCAAATAGTTTCTATAGTGGAATCCCCCCTTATAAAGAGCTTATCTCTGCATGAACATGCTAGTTTTGCCTAAAGGACAAATTAGTAGAAGGATTCACAAAAGACTGGAGAAATGTGTGAGTTTTAAATACCCATATAACAAAAAAAAATCGCTTAATTTTTAAGAGGTTAGTGAATATTTTTACTGATCTGATATAAAAATCTGACTACATTAAAGCAAATATTACCTATTCTATCATAAAATGTAAAAATAACCAAGTTTCAAAGAAATAAAATTGAGACAAGTGATAGCTATTTTAAAGAAACATGCAAATCAGATTTATCTAAATACCTTGGGTTACCAAACTCCTTAGTTACTGAATCCTCAGTCTCTTTCATTCCAAGTGAAAACTGTCTTTTTTAGGATCATCCAAACCAGGCCAACACTCTGAAAGCCTCCTGGTTTTGGACACATGTCAAAGCTCTAAGATTCAACAGTCCCAGACTGGATATGCATAGCAATGATCGTTCTCTAGCTACCCATATACACTGCTTTTGTTAACCTGCTTTACCACCATGCAAAACAGACACAATCCAAGACACAGTCAAAACTTTATCTCTAAGGCCCTCCCCCAGTTTTTTTCACAACTTCAATTCTGCTTATCATTCTTATTTTATATTTCTAAAACAATTCTATCCCTGCCAAAAGCCTCTTTTTATATACTAAGCCATATAAAGCACTGATAAATGAGATTGAATTCTTCTAATGTGAACCAAAGTCTTAAAGCTATGGCTGGAATACTCTGTGTAAGATGGTGGCACCTATTGGCAAAGTGCTATAAAATTATTCAGCTTTACTGAACATTGTAAATACCTAAAACACAGCAAGAAAGAAACTTATGTTCCAGGAGCTGAATTGGAATTATGAGATCACAAAGGCACAAAGAAATCCTACTTTTTGAGGGTAAAAGAGGGAAGGCTGAGAGTAAAAGGGGAGAAAGTAGGAGGAGCCCTTCAATATATTCCCGAAAGGCCATGTGCCAGAGACCACAAATTTAATTCGTTCTCACACATTTTCACTTCCATGCACCTAGAGATTTTTCTTCTGTGAATAAGTGGCTTATTTTATAATTAAATACACAGCCTTTTGATTAATTCAATTATCACAAAGTAAAAACAAAACAAAAAATATTTGAGTAAGATGGATGTAGTATTAGCCTCAATGGCCACATTAGTTATAATTTTTGTGTACCTGAAGCTTTCTGCTAATAAAACACTCCAGTTCATTCTCCAGTTCTAAATATAATCACCAGTACACAAAACACAGGAAACATACCAGTTATGTGCACCACTAGCTTGCTAACTAACACTCATTACCAGAACTGTCAGTGTTTTACTCTCATTAGAGCCGAAAGTGTTCCTCCTTTTAGACCCTGAACTTAAGCTCCATGATCATTTATATGGCCAATTTAACTAAATGGTATTATGAAAATAATTCTTTAACATATCCTGTTATTCAAAATAGAGCTCTTCTCTCTCAATAAGAAGAAACTGTCAAAAAAAAAAAAAGGTCAAAAGAATTACAGCTAAAAGTTAAAAGGTGGATGGATCCTGGATTCCAAAAGACCAGCCCTTTAAGACCTGTCATTTAAAGCACACCAGGAATAACACTGTTAGGTTATTTTACAATTAAGTTATTGTCAAAATAAACTAGATAACCTTATCTAAAAAACAGTCAGGCAAGATAAAAACTGCAGAACATCTAAGTTAATATAAGACCAAGATAGACAAGCAAAACATTTTATCACATATCAAACTATAAAAACCTTTTAATATACATTACATTTGAACTAGGGCTAAACCCGTGGTCGGCAAACTGCGGCTCGAGAGCCACATGCGGCTCTTTGGCCCCTTGAGTGTGGCTCTTCCTAAGCCTTAGGAGTACCCTAATTAAGTTAATAACAATGTACCTACCTATATAGTTTAAGTTTAAAAAATTTGGCTCTCAAAAGAAATTTCAATCGTTGTACTGTTGATATTTGGCTCTGTTGACTAATGAGTTTGCCAACCACTGGGCTAAACTTTTCAAATACATTATTTTAGTATTCCTGATGACCTTTTCCTATTTGACAATGTTGAGTTCTAAATTAATAATCATTTGATCATTAAGCAGCTTCACACTTAGCATAAAATGTTATACTGATTAAGTATATAAGTGTTAATCTGTATCACATGATGAGTAATACATGTATCAACCTTCACATTAATATATACTGGACTTTACTTTATAAAATGAAAAAAAAAATTCTACTAAGTTCTAAATTTGGTCAAAACATCAGTCAAATGAAAAAGAAATAAGTAAAAAGGAATGTTTCTTTCTTTCTAGAGACCTTGTCAATTAAAAATTAAACCTAAATTAATTATCACAAAATTCCTTGAGGTAAACACTGTCTCCACAGGTGTGGGGATTAGATCAAAACGAAAAGAGCAAAAGATGTCATGGTCAAATTCAAACTCAGGATGGCATTTGGTTCTGTGCTGTAATAACAGAGGTAGCAGGAAAGGGGTGGTTGGGGTCCAACACCTCATACTTAAATGAAACAAAGGATGTGTCCCCAACGGGAACTGCTGATTTCCCAATAATGCCCACATATAACCTCCACTTGTGGCTTTAGGCAATTCACTAACTCTGATGGACTATTTCTCTTCTGCAAAATAGGTGGAATCATTTGTAAGGTTCGGACATATTTTTAATGAGCTGTTGCTTAAACGTGTTCTTTTATTTCCAGAAGACTAAACTCAGCTATTGTCTTATACCAGGACATTAAGTCTAGAGCTATACATAAGTTCCTCTTCATATACGGATTTTAATTCCAGCAAGTATAGAAGTAGAGAGAAAAAGTTGTAGAAGTATAAAACTTAAGTTTAATTCAGGCTGAAATTTAGTTGTTTAATAAAAAAAAAGAATTAAAATAACATACTGGATGGATAAACAAAAATATGAAACTCAATAAAAACTAAGAATAACATCAGGTTCAGCAATCAGGCACCAGATACAGCCCTCCACTTCTTAGCCTTCAAAGCACATTGAAACGTAAGACAAATTATTTAATTCCTACTCTCTGAAGGTATACCTAACTTGTAAATGGAGTTTCCTGTATGTGTTCTTGTCCATGAATAGGCTAAAATTTTATAACATCAAAACTTGATCTCCCTGGCTGGTGTGGTTCAATGGTTGGAGCGCTGTCCAGTGCACCTAAGGGTCAAAGGGTTGCAGGTTTAATTCCCAGTCAGGGCACATACCCAGGTTGTGGGTTCAATCCCTAGTCAGGCCATGTGCAAGAGGCAATCCATCGATGCTTCTCTCTCACATCAATGTTTCTCTTCCTCTCCCTTCCTCTCTCTAAAATCAATTTTTAAGTTCTTTCTAAGTTTTAGATATTAACCCTTTATAAGATGTATCGACAGTATGTTCTCCCATCAACCACATGACTTTAAAGGTTTATATTTTCACTTCACCAGACCCCATCCCTACCCTTCAAACTTATAATGATCTATATAAATAGGCACAAAAATCCAGTTGGACAGCAGGGGCTATAAACACAGAATCCAGCCTCTGGCTTAAAATGGAACTCCAGATAGCATGGTCTTGTTACGGGTGCCTATTCCCTACCCAGTGGAGGTATGCAACCCAGTAGATAGATATCTCATTCAGATAGCATACCCTAAAAAAGGTCCTCCTGATCTTCAGGGAAGTTACTATGAAGGAAATAACTACTATATACCCATTTTTAAAAAGCAAAGGGAAGCTCTGAATCTTGTCTAAGTACAGTACAGTAGAAGTATTAACAAAACAATTTCTAAAATTGTTTCACCGATGTATTATTTCAAGGTTGCTTTTCTTTGGGGGGAGTAGGGTAACTGAACATTTAAGTCTACCTTTGCTTTTATGCTTTGGTATTCCATAGCTACAAATTAAATCCTAAACCAATAAGTTACATTTTTATAAAAGCAAAATATCTTCAGGAGACAATTTTCTTTAAAATTTCTTTTTCATACCTAGTTTTCAAACACAACTATGACAAAGTTTAAAGTATAACACAATATAAATGTAGGCAGAACACCTGTAATATCCAACAAGTAAAAGGAAAACTTAAAAGAACCAGTGGGAAGAGCAGAAGAGAGCACGCAGGTGGCATGCAAAGTGTATGTGGACCTTCAGCTTTTGAAAATGAAATACAAAAGGTTATTTTTAGGGTTGTTGCTTCCATGTACAATCTAAAAGCACAGGAGACACTAAGAAGAGAAGAAAATTTTGAAAATAGACTAGGATTGAATGAGTAAAACAGTACTGGCAAATTCCTAGGCAATCACAATCTGACAAGTCATTTCTATGCACCTCTATTAATTAAAAGAATATATTAATTTTATTTTAGAAAGAAGCTAACAAAGTGCCTCATGAAAAATATCCCCTCCCTGTCAAAGACACCTCTAAAACCTCTAATAGGGCAGGTATTAAAAAAAAATGACAAGAAGCTAACTCTGCATTAATTATTCATTAAGTAAGTATTTTAATAAGGTCCATATAGCAAATGAAGGGTGAAACAAGAGGGTGGTCTATAGACTGGGCAGAGTCAATAACAGAGCATCCACAGAACCTAAGAGGACAAGGGAATACATATATTAAACCGTCATGTTGTACACCTTGAAAAAAAAATGAACAAGTGTATAAGAAAAAGGGTAAAAAAAGAGACAAGGGGCCCCTGACTTTGTGTCAATCTCCAGTTTTATCTAGAAACCAACTGGCCTCATATATACTTCCAAAGTAAACAAAGACACCTGCCTATGGTGCACAGGGTAAAACTGGAGTGGCTGCATCTGGATGAGAGAGGAAACCTAAGAGCAGACCAGCTTAAGGTTAAATTCATGTATATTATTTATTTTTATAACACATTCACCCACAGTTCAAAATCCAAAGATACAAAACGGGAAAAATATCATTCCCTCTTCTGTTTTCCAGTCAAGTTATTTCTTTGTCCAAAGACACACATACAAACAACATTTTAAAAAAACCTGTCATTGTTTTAACTAAATGCACTGACATCACACATATGCATACATTACAACTTTTCTAAAGTAGCTGACTTCAAGACATTTAAAAAGTATCAAGAGAATTAGTAGAGTAAAAGTGCTGGATTATAAGGTCTGGGTTCTAGCCTCAACTCTGAGAGGCCCGACACTTCTTTGGCATTCTCCCTTATCTCTGTGGTCACCACTGGAGTCCAGGCCACTGTAAGCTCCTGCCTAGACTTGCCCCGACTCCTCCACATCCTCCAAATATGTAATTCACCCTCTTGCCTCCTCCAAGCCATTCTACTCAGGACTGTAGCCAAAATAGTTTTTTAAATGCAAATCCTTTTTTTTTTCATGCAAATGCTCAACTCTTTTGCAATTTTCTTTTTACCATTTCAGTGAAACCAGGAACAGGGACATAATCACTTATGGTGAGGCTGGCAGAGTCTTTAAGAGACCACTTTCCGAGTTGGGTCCCCTCATTGAACAGCCCGCACTGAAAATACTGAAGCCCACAGAGACAAACAAAGTAAGCGGGCCACATCTAGAATGTACTGGATCACAGAATGCCATGATTATGTGGGTACCTACAGGTTACTCATTCATTCATTCATAAATATTTACTGAAGGCTGGGCACTGTGCTAGGTATCAGGAACTGCAGTGAACAGACAGATAAGATCCCTGACTGCACAAAGCTTTTATTTCTAGAGACATTTCTAGAAAATAAGTAAATACTCAAGATAATTACAAAGGCACCTTCTCTCAGGTCTGGATTTTTATAGTCAACTTCTGGGCAGTCCCTCTGGGTCTTCTCTTGGCCTCTGCACTGTATTCCACACAGCGGAGTGATGCTTTTTAAATGTAAGTCACGCCAAAACCGGTTTGGCTCAGTGGATAGAGCGTCGGCCTGCGGACTGAAAGGTCCCAGGTTCGATTCCGGTCAAGGGCATGTACCTGGGTTGCGGGCACATCCCCAGTGGGAGATGTGCAGGAGGCAGCTGATCGATGTTTCTCTCTCATCGATGTTTCTAACTCTCTATCTCTCTCCTTTCCTCTCTGTAAAAAATCAATAAAATATATTTAAAAAAAAAAAATGTAAGTCAGATCATGCCTATACCTTGTTCCATATCTCCCACACTCAGAATAAAAACCAAACCTTTACCGTGGCCTGTGAGGCTTCGAATGGTCTGGCTCTTCTCCCTCTGCCTTTCCTCACTTACTCCACTCTGGCCCATGCCTGCTGACTAGTCTTCCAATCACCAGCCTGTCCCTCTAGAACTCACTTGCTGTTCCCTCTGCCTACAACACCCGCCCCCAAGTCTTCTTATGATGCGCTCTCACTTCACTGTCCTTGTCAAGAGGTCCTCTGACACTGTTTAGAACAGCATTCTGCCTTTAGCTTCATTTGTCTATACAGCATAGATCAGTCAAAAGATGGTATTTTTTTAAATAATGAGAGGGGTGTGTGGACTGGTGCCAGCCTAGATGAAACTAGATTGGTCATGTGTTTGTCGGTAACTGTTGATATTTGCTGATGGGTACATGGAGATTCCCTATACTATTCTCTCTACTCTGGTATATGTTTGAAATTTTTCCATTTAAAAAGGTAAAAAAAAATAAATAAAAGATATCCAGAATATTAAAATGGAACCAATATTTATTATATGCTTCCAATATAAATATTTCAATGTTTCATAAAATTCTAGTTTGCATCCTTAACAACTAATCAGGAAAGAAGCTATGTATTATCCTATCAAATAAAATGTGCTTCATTTCAAATGTTACTACCCTTCTCTCTTGTTTTGGGGGGATCAAGCCTGCCCCACTGTGCCGTGTGTCATGCTGTGGGAAACCTGCACAGATCCAGTGTAGCCTGAGATGAGGGGGCACCACTGCCTGACTGGGGGTTCAGCTGCAGGCTCACCTGGCTTTTATACCATACTCTGCCTCCATCACTATTAAAGGTGACATTGTGGCCTCAAAAGAGGGGGGTAAAAAGTTTTTAAAAAAGTTATTTTTTTTCTTCCTTGACAAATTTCTAATCTCCACAGCTTATAGAATGTTCCTCTGCAACAAGCTTGCCTTTTAGCCAACGAGAAGTAATGAAAGGACTAGAACCAGAGAATTCTTGCCAGCAGTAATGGAGTGGACAGAGCCCTCTCTACTTCCCGGTGTCCCCACTACCTTGGTAAGGTTAATTATACCAGACAGCTGTTAAGGATACTTAGTACTGTGGTGAATATGGGTAGCAACTGGATGCTATGCAAGAGATATCAGCACTAAGTAATCCCCCTCCTGGGAAATAAGGTGAACAGTATTTCTTTGACTCTACTAGCAATTTTCCTCCATACCTTTCCCACAACTCCTTTCACATCTCTCTCTTCTAAAAGCCAAACCTGTGGCAAATAAGATAAACTGGACACCCCATGATTGGGAAGAACCAAAATCCTATTGGACACCACTGCTCTAGTTCTGCCTTGCCAACCTGGAGGCTAACTGACTGGTTTTACTGACAAAACTGGTTGCCCAGGAGGGTGAACATTATCTCTGAGAGCCACAGAGAACATTTAATCTTTGCAGTAGCAGTCTTTTTTTTTTTTTATCTTTATATTGAAAGTATTACATATGCCCCCTTTCCCCCCCCCCCATTAACCTCTTCTAGCCTGCCTCCACCTCCCACCCTAGGTGCAGTAGCAGTCCTAAAAGCCATTAGTTTTTTTAGCTTATAAATACATACCTGTGTTAGTGATTCCCAAATCTGGCTAATTTTAGGTATTTCTAGAGGAGTTTTTTAAAAGACTCTGTTGGGGCCCAAAAATCTGTACTTTTAAAAGTTATCAGGTACCCTGACCGGTTTGGCTCAGTGGATAGAGCATTGGCCTGCGGACTCAAGGGTCCCAGGTTCGAATCCGGTCAAGGGCATGTACCTCAGTTGCGGGCACATCCCCAGTGGGGGATGTTCAGGAGGCAGCTGATCGATGTTTCTCTCTCATCGATGCTTCTAACTCTCTATCCCTCTCCCTTCCTCTCTGTAAAAAATCAATAAAATATATTTTAAAAAACAAAACAAAACAACAAAAGTTATCAGGTAGTTGTGCTCACTCAGGTTTAGAAACTAATGATGTAGTACAACCTAAGGTACAAACTAAGTCACAATTCAAGAGTGACCTGCCTCCAAAATTTTTAGTTATTCTGATAATAAAAATATTTTCCCCATCGTGGTCAGTGTGGCTCAGCTGGTTGAAGCGTTGTCCCGTACGCCAAAGGGTAGCAGGTTTGATT